GTATTACTGGCTACTGTCATTAGTTGTTTGGGAACTGGGCTAACGTTGCGATCGTCAGCGTGGGATGTTGTTTCCGTTTTCATCCATTTCCGTTTCGGCTGATGTTAGCTGGCTTCAGTAATTCGCATCGGAAGAGTCGACGGATGTTCCAGAGAGGTTTACGGTAATTTAAAGTCCATTTTCGCAATTGCTCATTCTTATTCGTACGCTAGTAGTTCTGCCGATAGTTCACCTTTTCAGTTTCTTTTATCTAGCTTCCTTCGTCCTTGTACTTGGCTATTTTGCCGTCCTTGTGCGGACTTCACTGGAATGGCTGAATCTTCTCGCTATTCGCAGAAATTGACTGCATTTAGTTGTTTGAATATTCATTCGAAAACGCCCGAAAAGTCTATCAGCTTCGCACGCAAAGCATTGCCATCATCGTAGGTCGTCGTCGTCGTGCCGACGATTTTCTCCTAGGCTTTCGGCGGCCTTCCGTGTCAAGCTTCCATCCTCTGCTGGCTTTCTATTGATTTGGATTGTTTTGTGAAAATGGAATCCCGTTCGTTTGATGAAATTTCGAATTCTACTTTTTGTGAGCTCAGTGGGCGAACCACCCTTTCCGCCCAATGGCCTGATTCTGCCAAACGTCGTCTTTCGAATAATCTAGTTATCTTCAATTTGGTATAGGATGTTTCGCCCTCTTCGAAAATTTCCCTTTTGTCCTTGAATTGCACTTGANTCGCTGCTTTCAAAATTAGTATTCCGATGGAGTTGGAGGTTTTTTGGGGTTTCGAGCCTCTTCAGAGATGAATTGCCATTGTATAGACCTTTGTAAGGCTTGACATATGCTCCCGGGAATCAAGATTGTTCTATTTGTGTAAATGGAAGAGTGTCTGCAACCGTCAAAGTGCCCATTTCTGGCAGTGTCAACAGAATTTTCGACAACACTAATTGATGTGGACAGTGAACGATTTTTCCCGGATTAGATGCATTCCCAAGACTCGCCTACAATCGTATCATGCACCCCTGGGTACTTCAATTGGTACTTCAAACGTGCAGTACCCTTGAAACACGTACTTTGTTTGGACAAGCGGCCCATTGACTATTTCTCAGTGAATTCTGAGGCTCTCTCCGTTTCCTCTGAGAATTCCTATTCATATTAGAAAAAAAGACGCAGGAACTGATAATTAAAGGCAATTGAGATGGCAGAGGACATTTAAGGTAATTTTGGAATTGCTTGTATTCAACGGTCTTGCCGAACAGAAAGCGAAGGGTTTTTCTATATGCTCGAGAACGCCCATACAGGAACCAAAAAGGTTGTAGAAGAGAGCTTAATTGCGTACCAGAAGCAGTAGGTTCTCTTCCTATCCTTTACATTTTCCCTTTTTTTTGCAAGATGGCTGCAAGCAATTAGCCATAGACATCGCTGACAGAATGGTGAATTAGAAGAGAGATGCAGCCCACGGACTCTTCTACAGCCTTTCGTTTTCAAGGCCCAGTTCACCATCCCCACATGTTCTCAACGGCAAGGTACCAGCTTTGACGTAAAATAGGCTTCGGAGGTCACAGTTGCCTTTTGTTTTTGGAAAAAAAGCAAATGTGGCCCCAAGTGCAAATGAACGCTCTATGCAGAGGCTAGAAGTGTCAGTTTACCATCACATCAGTGCTACGGATGTTTTGAGAGGGAAGCATGGTTGTTAAGGGAGCGCTCTTGCGCTACACCGCGCAAGGGGTCTTATGATACCACAGGTAGGGTTCACAGTTCAGCTGAAGTGCTCTCTTCGTGAGGAACATACAAGCAGGCCAACGAAGCCAAGACTTGTGTCAGCCTGTGCCATCTTTGGTCTCGTGTTTGACATTACCAAATTTCACTTGATCTTGGACTGAGTTTCTTCCCAGTTCCTGATTTGCAAAACCAATCTCTTGAATTGTGGCTCTGGATGCCCCAGAAGCTGTCTAGATATAGGGCCCATGCGGCTTGGTCTGGTTGGAAAGCTGGAAAGTAAGAAAAAGGGTCTAGGACTGAATCAATTCTGGGCAGAATTGGGTATGCTTTGCTCTGCTTGGCTTTTGAATCGCAGTGATCCGTCACCATTACTTGGAGCCCAGCTTACCCTTTGTTTCTGAAATTTCCTTATAAATCATACTCTGGGCTTTCCCAGGGTATAGGTGGTTTATTGGGAACCAAATCTGTTTAGGCAAAGCGTCGTAGCTTCTCCTGCTAGGGTATGTATGGAGAGGGTGGAATGACCATCTGCCAGCACAACTCCTATGCGTCAAGTCATGACGTCTGAGCACTACGACTTTCTCATTTAGAGTTTTGAGCTATGTTAAACTGCTTTTTAACGGAAAATTGGTCTCTGAGGACGACCTTAGGCCTTGTTACAGGTGTAGGAAATGAATTTTCAACTTGATCCATTTTTGCAGCAGTTGAGCATAAGTTTTTCGGGTGGCTCTTTGGTGGCTTTACTTTATGGACAATCCGAAAGTAACGACGTAATTTGACATTTTAAAAATTTTGGTAGACTAATGGACCAGTCTCATAAAAGGGATTGAAATCCTAAAAAACCCAACGATTGGGTGGCGTGCTTGAATGCAATGAGCGAGCCACCCAAGACCAAACGCAAGTTTATGGTGGAGCTTGACGTCGTCTGGCACATACTCCTACTTCATGGAATTGCTGAGTATCATTCATTATACATACGTATATCACGTCGACCTACCATTTAGGAAAGGGTCGGAATTCATCAGGAGCCGTTTCTGTTTGCATTGCCCCGTTCAATTTAGTGGCTGCCATTAGTGGGACAGAATTTCAACCAGGCACCTTTCATTGTTCAATACGTCCAAATTTAGAGCACCTCCCTGTGCCTCTTGCCCTCTGATGTTTTCTTTGTCAGATTATAGAAATAGTGGGTATAAAAAGGTGGGAGAGTGTTCAAAAGAACAATTTCATATCCTTCTGTCCTTGTTCTGTGAGGGAATCCGCTTCAGGACCATAGACAAACGAAGAGATTCCGTCGGCGACTGTGTATAAGTGCTGGCTGGGCCGGAAACGAATAGTGTCGCCTAGATTAATTCTGAACGCTCAAAGATCACCACGTCATTCATTCAAATCCTCTATTCATTGCTTTGAATAGCTGGCGCGGCCCCGTTGGCAAGTTGATTCAAGCCCAATAAACGATGTTGGGTTCCTCCACTGGTTCTTCTGCGTTTCTGGAATTATTACCATTTCGAACGGAACAGCCCAGTGACGACAATTAGTGACGATAACAATACACAACGAAGGCCGGCTGTCGTTCCTGTCGTTCTTGCACTTCTCTTCTTAACAAAGTACAACTATACTGAAAGAATTCTCATTATTTTATTTTAAATTGCCCAAGAGTCGCTACTGCTGCCTTTCTACCACCAGTAGGCTTCGACAGCCAGCAGACATCTTGTAGCTTTTCCAGACCGCAATGCGTGCCCACTTAGCACCCGGTTGCAAATTCGATTGAGTCGGCCATCACTTGGCCGTCAACCTCATCCGGTAGCACCTTTCACAACTTCAAAGTGGCTGTCTAGTATTCAGTACCTGTTTGTCAATAATAATCTGGTAATCACCGGCTTGCCGTTGATCTGATTTCATTTTTATTACTCATTTGTTATTTGCTGTTGGGGGTTTTTCGGTGTTTATTGAGTTTCCAACGCAACGGAGCAGCTTTCGAAGCTTATCTCGGGCAGCTCTGTTTTGGTGGGCGAGTGTCTGCCGCATGTTTCTGCTTTTAGCTGTACTGGTGGGTGTGCCCACTGGAATTCATCTCTTGTTGGAGTCTCATTCATCTCGTCCTTTTTTTTGTCGAAAAAGGATGACATGATGTTTGTCAATCTTTCGACGAAGGTTGACAGACTTTGAGATATCAGCGAATGTCCGGCATCCGCACAGCCCTCTAAAAATTCTCAACTTTTTTGTGTACTTGAAATTAACAAGAAAAATAAACAAGTAAACAAACGCCTAAATAGTTTTGGCAGGTTCGAGGTACTTTGGTAGGTCTGGAATGGTAGTACCAGTGACGGAGTAACGTTTGAGCTAAGAAAAGCTAACAGCATCGTGAGGGATTTGACGTAATAAATCGAATCGATTGAAGTTTGCCAATCAAATTCCGTCCAGTGTTGTGGAAACTCGATGTGAACTCGATGTATGCAATGGATTGAAGAGTCCAGCCAAGCCCGCTGAGGGCTGTTTTGTCCTCCCACGCAATTTTTCGTGGCGGGCAGAATTTCCAGTTTGCATGGGTGGAACTCAATGTGAAAGGTTTTCCCGACTGTAATGTAATACCTCTCGTCTTGCACTACATTTGCTTCAACAAGGGAAGTTTGCATAACTAATACGTCAGCGCCAAGAACGCCCACCGCTGATCCGTAGCACGCCCAGTGCTGATCCATTACAGGCTTCTCAATTGCTTTAACTTTTGTCGTTTCTTCGAATCAAAAGTCATAGAAATGTAATTTTGGGATGTTTGGTTTTATTAACTTCTCACTATCGCCGAGCTCTTGCTTTTAATGGTCAAAAAGATACTGAAGCCTTACCACGGGAGTGGGCGAAACCTTCGGCATTGGAGGACCTTGGACCCGCCTTAGTAGCTGATTATGAGTGTTCGGGTTNCTCAAAGTCCTGACCATAACTCAGCATTTTTCGGGTTATACCCAAAAATCCTTTCGATGGAATATCATTTTTCAAATCCATTTTCTCGGGGCAATGCAATAGATGGGTTGAATGCTGGCGTTCCACCCACATTTGGCCGTGATGTGACAGAGCGTCATTCTTGCCGATTGGTTTCACAATAGCCACTCAGAGCTGACAACATTCTCCTCTATTTTTCCTTTTCACAGTTTACGTCCTTTCATACATCCCCTCCTTGTCATCCTTTCATTATCATCGGTATCATTAATGGAATTCCCAATGATCTTAAATGCGCTCTCGTGAAACGTGCTGCTGACGTGATGGGCCTGTCAGGAATCGTCCTAAAGTGCTTCAGTGGATGTGTGCTGCTCGTCCATTTTTCAATCAGCCACCGCGCAAAATGCGTTCGTCGTCTTGGACGGACGCGTCGCCTGCAGAATTTCCTCCATTGGGAAGTGGAAACTATAATATCGCTCATGGTTTATTATCATTCCACAAAGGATCTGCATTTTTACCGGCATTCGTTATAGAAGGATGTCATGGTACTTTTTATCTTTTTTAATTTTTTCTCATATTGAAATTAACCGCTTTCGAAGTGATGAAACTTATAGCGTTTACCTTTTCTGTAGCCAGCAAGACTTTTACCAGGTCTTCAACTCAAGTGGGTCTTGCCTGTTCAGATCCATGAATGACATTTTGCAGTTTCATTCAGAACATATTGAAGCAGCTATGTGGTTTTCCTCTGTCTTCCTGAAGTGGCTCCTTGACTATTCCTTGAATTTAGTACTAATGCTGTTTCAAAGAAATCCATATTTTTCGAGGTAATGGATTTAATAGTGGGGCGTTTAACGTTTTCTTCAAAGTCATGGGGAAGTGTTTGACCCTTTCAGGGTTCATGATTTCGATTTGGCCCACCTCAGACCATCCAGTTCGCTGTTAGGGCTCGAGTTTTAAAGTCTATCTTCTATGAAAGCTGGAAAAGTCGTTTCAACTTTACCTCAATCATTTCAAAAAAAGAGGAAATCCCGTGTAATACTGCAACGCGAAACTAAATCTTGCAAATTTGACATTACAGCAGACCCAAGAATTTAATTGCAAAATCATGCCACATTGTTCGTACTTCGGTACTGGTTTCTTGGAGCCATTGTCGATTCCGATCATGTCGATACCAGTATTGTAACTGGAATTCAAAAGCGGAACCTTGAATAAACGTTCACTTTTCTAAGCAAGGAAATTTAGTCGGGAATTTGAAAATACGGCTGTTTATATGTAGGTAGAAAAAGAGCTGTTTGTAATAAGACGGAGTCTATACTGGGTCAATGAGTTCTTTTTTTCTCATTATCGAACAGCTCTCTGTATTCCCTGGACCTGGGGTTGATTCTCAAAGGTCTGAGATACCAAGTTTGAAAATTTGATTACTTTTTGGAGAGCTTCGCCCTCTGAATAGTAATTGAGTTTTCCGTGAAAGGAAGTATCTATCACCATAATGACGTTCCCGCAGGATTCCTTTTTTATTAAAACTTGTAGACGCCAATCAGCTACCCGCTATACCATACCTTCAGGAATTTGAACCATACCCGAAACAAAATAGTTTTTTTTTTCTGGTAAGTTAATAAATTTATTAATAGTGACCTCTTTTGCTATGTAAAACATAAAGAAAATGTAAAATTTCAAATTATTTCCTTCAAACTCATTTGGACGGGTTTGCATGAGCACTTTCGCCTTTGTCTATAATCCCAGTTTTTCAGCTCAATTGGATGAGACTGGCTTCGAATTTGTACAGGCATGTATAGCGTTTCTGGAGGAACGAGGTGCGCTTTGTTTGTTTTGTTTGCAGTGGAATTTACTTTGTTTTTGTTTACGTTATTGGGAAGATCTGTGAGAGATACGGCAAAATTTCCTGATTATTTTCAGGAATCCGTGAGCAGGGTCTTTACCGTAACTGTGGCGTAACGTCAAAAGTCCAAAAATTGATGCAACTCGGTTTGGATAAACGAAAATCGAATGGTGACAAGTTGAATTTCAATGATGACGAGTGGGAGATAAAAACAATCAGCAGTGCAGTGAAAACCTTTTTGAGGTTGGTTTCGATGGCTGTCTTCTGAGAAAACCACTAACTTTGTTAGTGCGCCTTTGTTTTCGCGTGAATTTGTATCTAAATCGGGTTTGTCTTGTTTTTCGTGGTTCTTCTTCTTCAGCACATTGGCACTTATTTGGTGTGGAGACCCGGTTTTCTAACTGATTTCTGTCCACAAAGTTGACTATATGGGGATGGAAATTGGTAATGAACATGCGAACTATCAATAGGCCCTCACAGATAGTAGGACTGCACGTGCACATCTGCTTCCCACAGTTCAATCATGTCCCTCATATGTGGGTTTTCGTAACTATGAATTAAGTGGTACTTTACCGTTTAACATTCATCGGGAAGGATATATGGTTGTGAAACGACACCCCATTCAGAAGTCACCCACGCGGTCTTAATGCACAGGGGGCAATCAGATTAGCTCCGGAATTCCAACTTTTCAAGGAGATGGAGGAGAAAGTGCCTGCTGTCGAGAAACTCCCTTCCTGGAAGTCATGTTGGATGTCTTTCCAGAATTTTAGCATATCTAACTGATAAAATAGTCTGTGAGCCGGACATTTACAAGTCAGTGCTTTCATTTTCTCGCAGCGATAAGTCCTTTAAAGAGGTCTAGAAGAGACGGGGTTCCTTAGCCGTCACAGAAGGGGTCCAAAACGAATTCGTACATAGAGCTTGTACTCTGATTCGTAGGTGGGCGGCTTTATGTCCTTTTCAATTACCTCTATTTTGCTCTGTGAAAAGTATGGCTAAAAGTTCTTCCGGAAGCACTTTTGGAGCTATTCCATCATCTAAAATTGATCTTGAGATGTAACTTCCTTCTGGTTTATAAAAAAGTACAGAGAAATTGTAAATTGGTCGGAAATGTGGTAATGTGTTAGGTTCCTCAAAGTCTTGAAGCACTCGCGTTTTTCTGATTCGCTAAGTCAAGTCGTAGGCAGCATTCCTTCCGATCCTCAGAAGTTCTATAAGTCCGTAGAATCGTAGATATCCAGGTTCGCGAACAAGTGACTAACGGTCAGTTGCCTGACCAGTCCTGCGAAAGGAGGCATCGTTCTACCGAGGCAGTGGTGGGGGTACGGGAATTGGAGGTGTTTGTGGGGGGGGGGGGGGGNCTGGCAGAAGTGACCAATGGGGCACCTCTGAATTCTCCGAGTAGGTATGTCGTAACTGTCCTTTGACAATTTCTGCATCTTTTATACGGTAACCTCATGGTGCCCTATTGAAATTGTCCTTACCAAGTCAATGGCGTCATAGGAGCACCAACGATCCTTCTTGACATACAGCGATGCATTTCAATTTATGCAGCAGGCAGGAATTTTGCATCAACTCAAAAAGAAGAGTGGTTTTTTTCCAACTTGCTCCCTTCAATCGCATTTGGATGCAAGGTCAATGGAGCTCATCATGCAGCGATTGCATTCACATATATCCAGCAGCTCAACTCGTCGATATTTGCCCTGAAGAGAGTCTGCAAAGACCTTGTGTATCACAAGGAAAGTTGTTCATATGTCAGTCTTCTTCTAAAAAAGTGGTACACAAGGAGGGAGAAAGTTGGAAAGGAAGCGCCATTCCTATGTGGAGCATTAGAATCTGGAAATTTCGTAGATAAGCTAAGAAAGTTGGCCCGGACTCTATTTTTCAGCAAAAAATCGGAAGACTAATTTTGATTAGATTTCCTCCTCACACAAAAACCTCCCAGAGTAATGCTTTGAGGAACTTTTTTTTTCCTGTGGGGTCGTATGAAAGAGGTATTGTAGTGACAAGTGACGTCCAATCACTCTCGCACGGTTCGGGGATCGAATCTGATATCCGCTCGGATCAACCAGACCTCCCATCTCGCAGTATCGATTTCTTGGTACCAGACTCGTCCGGGAGGATAGAAGCACTGAGTCGTACATCAGCTGGCCACCGCTAATCACTGTTGAAGGGTGTGATGAAGTGCTCCAGACCTCCTAAGCCAGTGAGGCAGGGTGTGATGAACTGACGCTGCAAAAAAAAACCCTTCAAGAAAAGTTCTTCAAAAAAGCAGTTGAATTTCTGCAAAAAAGAGTTCTTGACGTCATGCTTGGGAGTTGTGCGGCAGACATGACATCAAGAGGGTCCATTCGTGAAAGGACAACGCCGCAACTTGTCATATGGCCGCGACGTTGTACTTTCCCAAATCGGTCTCGCCAGATTTCATAAATTCGAAGGGTACGGGTTACGTGAAAAACGCAACAGGAGAACCGAAAAGGAACGAGGAAGTGGAATGATTCAGGAATATATTCAAGAAGTTCGTTGGTACTCTTTAAAGCGCATGTAAGCTTTTACAAGGGCTTTAAATTACTGGTTATAGCTTTGAATTACTGGTAAAAGGGGTGTGAGATTAGAGCGGATACCTCAGTGCACTCCTATTATCAAACGGCTTCAGAGGCACAGTCAGCGATATTTTTGAGGTGCTCTTGAATGTTTTTGGAAAATTTTACATCGATGACGAAAAAAAGGGAGAAAATACGCCGAACACGTAAAAAATAATGCTTCCTAAACTTAGTGAAACAAAGGTTGTACGAGATTGCCATGACGAAAATACCGTGGTCGTGGTATTCGGACAAGATTTCGATTTTTGCAAACGCCTGCAGAGCTGACTAGAGTAAAGCGAAAGCGAACAAAATTGCCTCCCCCTGTCGCCAAGGTCACTTTTGATTGTGGCATAGCCGAAAACCGTTAAGCCGACAAACTTTGAGCCCCTATAACACTCCACATTGGCCGTTTACCGATCCGCCACATATGGTATGGAGATGGATCACGGATTCATCCTCATCCTCGGGGAATATCTTAGAAACAACTTTCATTGTGAGCAGTGCCTTTGACAATCTGGTGTCCTTGTGCTGGAACGATTCTCGGATCAAGCTTCCACAATTCTGACTTGCTCTAGCCCTGTAATAATTCGAGTTTTTTAGGAACCTGCCAGAACCGTTGATGACGTTTGAGCAGCATAATCTGTTCATCAATGCGGCTAAAATGGACGATCGACGTACACGAGTTGACCATATCCACTATTATGTCCATAAATTACCACCATCTCATAAATCAATGTTGGAAATAGTAATTCGGCATTTGAAGAGGTGAGTAGCTTTCTGAAGTAGCTTTTAAGTCAGTATTTATTGTATCGAGCCGATTATGCTTTTATCCTGCGGTGGGTGACGTCTGAAATAAGGCAAAAGGCTGGGCAGGTCCTTTTTTTTAAATGAATGAATTCATTATCACAAGGATTTGGTTGAGGCGGAGTCGGGTAAGCAGCCTGGAAGGATTGGATCTATAGGCGACTCGTTCCGAGAAGTTTTCCATCTAAGAAAAACTCTCGGTCGATTCACCGTCAAAAGGGTCTTCGAAAAGTGGTCCGATAGCCTATTTACGTGACTTAGCAGAGCACTAAGAATAGCGGCAGTTGAAATGAACTTCTCATGTGAGTAATGGAACATCTCAACATCCCGGATCCCGTCAGTAACTGTCCTTGTTCGATGGCCATCACAAGATCGCCATGGTATGTCACATTAACGACCCTTTGGACACCGTCCCTGAACCTCTTTGTTGACGGAGACTCCTATTCCCCTCTGCCCATATCGTGCATAGGATCACTCCGTCCATTTTTCTTTTCGTTGAGAACGCTGGAGCACCTCCTACGTGGAATGCAAGTTTTTGAGGCATGGGAAGTGTCCGAAAAAATGTATTCCTTCAGTGGAAGTACTCTACTTTTACTCTAAGTTTTTACTTGTAACTCTTGTTTCTGTTTGTCTAATGTAACAGTTGAAGACCCACACCTCTGAGAACCGTTGCTGTTTCAGAGTGGCCGATCGTTGTAGCGAGAATCTTATGACAGTAGGTAATTTGGGTGTGTGCTTTGGACCGACTCTTTTACGGCCGAAAGAGGAGACTATGGCTGCAATTATGGACATTAAATTCTGCAATGTGGTTGTCGAAGTGCTGATAGCACATTGTGAACAGGTTGGATTGAGTTGGAATATAAGAACTTTTTTAAACTGAATATCTGATTTTTGCAGATATTTGGCACCGAGCCTCCGAAATCCATTGGGCAACCATGTCCGCCGAAGCCTGACCATCGTAGTATCCATCATGAGTCAAGTCATCCAGTGATTTCATTAAGGTTTGTTCATGGTATTTCAGGTACTCCCGTACCACTCCTTGTTAATGAAATGAATAAATAGTAATAGTAATGAAATTAAATAGTATTAGTGAAATGTATATACTTTATTTTACAACTATTGAAGACCTTTTGAGATTTTTTTTGGCGACTATGAGAAATGGATTATAGTGAACGCCAAGCAGACAATGGACGCCATATGCTCAGCGTATCGGCGACGTCGTCGGTGCCTACAACCGCACCTCCACGGCCACGTGCTTTTGTACCATCGTCGCCAGCAATCCGTGCACACGCAACTGCAAGCTCAACGCCGAGCAGTCTAGGGTCGTCTAATAGCCATATTTATGATGTTCCTCCCGAAGGTAATTACTTTTCCTCTTGTACACCAACTTTGTACGAAATTATCTGACCCGTGGAGCCAAAGAATTTCCGGTGTTTTCACTGAGTACTGATTTTTACATTCACGGTTCGCCTAAAAAAATATGTGTGGGAAAGTAGGGATTGAAGCTTTTGTTATGAATAACTTTTAAGTTATATTAGTAAGACCTAGGTTAAATTTTTGTTGGCCGTTGCTGGAGGATTGATGTTGAAGTCATTTGTCTTCGGGGAGTCGCCGATTTCTATTTTGAGTTATTTGACCTGAGCCGGACTCATGGTGGTTTCCCCGGAGATATCCCCCGCAAATTCGTTCCACTTGGGAGAATCAGAATATGAGGGGAGTTTTCCAAAAGTTGGAACTGCTTGAAGATTTAAGTTTAGCCAGGAGTAAGTACGAGTGCGAGTGCGAGGCAATCTTTGCGAGGTCTTGTAGTAAGAAATGTGAGAAAGAAAGGTCCTAGAGAGGGATACTCAAAATTGAATCCGAGTTTTTCGAGAGAAAAATGAATTACCTCTTCCTCATGTGAACCGTCGCAAGGGTTTTAATTCTCCCCCCAAGGGAAAAGAATATATTGAAGTGGACCTAGTTACCTTATTTTAGTGGATTTCATTTTTTTCAAATAAGAAATTTGAGGCGTGCTAGTGGTTCCAAGCAAAAATGGCTACTATCCTTCCACCACCCTCTGAGAAGCAAACTTTTTTCAGTTCCTTCATCGTCAAAACTATTACCGACATACGGTGCCGCAAGTTCGTCAGCTGCAACCACTCCTACGACACCACCGTCTCAGTCGGCTAGTTTGGCTTCTACTCGGATTCCAGCCACAACCGCGGTTTCTTCGTCATCATCACGAGCTGCTCCTCATTGTGAGAGCTCGGACTCGTTAAATTCACTCATCAGTGGAGGCAGTGATAGCCCAAAAGCAAGTGCATCGAGTAAGGTGTCAGTTGAGTCAAGAGGTCAGCCAGTTCATTTTTAGCTTAAATATGTGGATAAGAGTGTTTGGCAGGGACCTCAGTAGGAAAGTGCCTGACTCGGATGGGTCAGTACTCAGCGACCAAAATTGGGCTAAAATTGAGCCTTCGAGCATAGCTCCAATCGCAGTATCTGGGCAGTACACTCAATCTTACCCTACATCAGTCCCTGCCAAACAACATTTTCGACCTATTTAAAATAGTCTATGGTTTCCAAGGCTAAGTGTCCCTGTTTTAGCAAAGGTGAGCACCTCGTATGCCCCTGCCTACAATCCACTCGCATGTGAAACGTGAGTTATTTTCTGACTTTTTGTGGTTTTGGATTTTTTTCGTCGGGATAGGTGCCAACTGCTGACTATTTGACTATTACTAATATCTGCTGTGTGCGTGTGATTCAGAATAGCGCACAAGTTGAACAAGCGAAACTCGGGTCTCAACGTTCTCTGTAGTGCGGAGTGAGTTCAAGCTGCCGGAATTTCTTCGCCGCCTACGGCTTCTGACATTACCTCGAAGCAAGCGCAACGTGACGACATTATGCTGAATAACTGAATAGTATTCCCATTAGTCACCGTTAAATTGTAGGAATCGAGGGCAAATGACCTGAAAGAGAACTTTTGAGGGTCATCTAACAACTAAATGTTTTGGGGGTTATAGGTACAGTGATTTCATCACATACCTCAAGTGCTGGTAGACCTTCAAAACGGTCGCACTTGCACCTGCGACTCGAACTTTTTTGATCAAAACCGTATCCTTCCTTTCCTTTCTCCCCCCCCCCCTTCCACGGAATTGTGTTGCGTTGACCACTTCGGTTTTGCCCCGTAGTTTCAAGATTCCGTTGTTGCCCTATGCTGTAATTACCTTGTTTGTTCACCCTTTCGTCTTTCAAAGCATTTTGATTTGGTATTTCAGAGCAATGGTGGTTCCCGTGGTACTCCTTGAACTTTCCCACTCGAAAACCTTACAAAAGTCTCTTAAATCGTAATCTACTGCGGATCTCTCACCTTTCAAGTTTGAATGTATGATTCCCATGATCCCTTGCCTCTATTGAAACAAAGGAAACAAAGCGAACCAGTTAAGGAATACCTTCGTTTTTCATGTAATCGTAGCTAACTAAATCGTCCTCGCATCGAATAGAGAAATCTGAATTGAGCGAATACTTTCTATTTGACGCGAGTGTTACTAAGGCACAACCATAAAGTAGAACTTTACTGCTCAGTTTTCATGATCCCAGTTGAAGCCATACTATTTAGCTGAAGTCGCGTCGCGCAATGCATCGACGTATGTCAGAGGCGCTTCTGCTTCGGCCATGCTTCGTTACGCCATGCCGCGCTGCTTACCATTAGCCTGTGATCGTCCCTTAGCGACCTTAAAGAGCCACACTCACATGGTGCTGATCACCTGGCCGACTCCCAACGATCTACGATAGGAGGATATGCATGCTCCCACATGTTTTTGGGAAGCCTGAACTTCTTCTATGCATGCATTAATGGCGTATTGTGGTGTGAAGTGGGTGCGTATAGGTGTTTGTGTGTGGTGGTCGGGTGGTTACTTGAATCGAATGCCGAGTTGGTCGTCACACAGTACCTGAGTACCTGGCCGCGCTCAGTTTCAGTATACCCCGTGGTGGGCAGCAGGCCGTGGGAGGAATGCCGTCGACATCTACGTCGTCGACGATATCGGCGCCGAACCATTCGTCGACGTCCTCATCGGCTCAGCCTACGTGCGCCACTGAGTGTCCTGTGCAACGCATCTCTCCAATGTACTCTTCTCTGATTAATCCGGTTGTCTCGCTGCAACCGAGGTGGGTTGAGTTCTCTTCTGTTTCTCCTCATTTCGTTTATCCTATCCGCCTGCAAACCTATTTAAACGTAAATATTTCACGCACACCTAAATGCGTAGTAAATGTGTCCACCCTTTTTCTCGTACACACTCGTGCCTCTCGTTCCTTTCGGTTGTAACTTTAGCTTTAGTTAGCTGAAATTTCGCATTTACTCTTTCAGTTAAGTATCGTTAATTGTCTCTGGCATGGTCACATTGTGTACATATTAAGTTGATACGGTTGCTTTATTTTCCCAGAAACTTCTCTTAATGGTCAAAGAGATACCAAAATGTCCGCATTGAACAAGCACTGGATCAAAAATATAAATTATTTGATGATGACGAACTCTGTTAGTAGCCTGTTCGGTTCATTCGGGGCGTTACAAATTCGAATCGGATGGGAACGGGGCCTATTTACTGGTTCTGGGGCAAATATCCTGACCATCCTAACCCTTTGGGACGATTAATCTTTTCTGGGAAGTTATACGACAGAGGTAGAGTAATGTTATGTGGCTCCACTACCACTTATGGGCTCCGGGGTGAAATCTTTTTTGACTAATCCATCCCTCAAGCTTCTGCTGTTTGTGCGTGACCGTTTTACGTCACAACTGACAGAGTAAACTATTTTTCTAGAACCGGGCGGCTACACTCCTCAAGAAGTATCGGGGGCGATGGTCCATGTAACGACTGTGGCGCCCGAATCCCACCGCATGGTCCGGGTTCAAATCCTAGATCGATATCCGCTCAGGCCAACCAAGCATTCCATCCTTCTAGGGCGGTAGAAGCGGTGGTATAGTTAATGTTTTAAACTCCCACGAGGTTGTGAGTTTTGGTACAGCACAAATTAATTAGTGACATTTTGGAATGTCTTTGATCACGCTGCAAGAATGTTGCTACAAAATAAAGCCTGCTGTTCAACTAGTATTTCCCGAATCAGCTCAGACAGATATGCGCTGAAAATTGGGCATGCCGCTCACATAGTGTTAGGTCAACCTGGGAAAAATTTTGGGTGTCGACTAGTCGTGTACTTCTAAACATGGGCAGAACGAGGACTTTTTCTTCTGAGTATATGATTGCCATAGGTTTATTCCCTAACTATGTGCAAGGCTGGAAAGAAAGTTTTATAAAGGGCGTTATACGAGCCCTGAATGAGGTTTTGTTGAAAGGTGAATTATTGAAATAATGCATTTTATGTTGACAGCGCCTTCAGAATACCTCATGCGTCTCACAACAGGATTCGTTCTGAACTGTAGAATTCTTTTCTCTCTTTCTGGGTTCTAGCGTTCTCGAAATGGTCATTGCTGCTGTCTTCACAAGGAACTGGATTGACTGGATGGATTTTTGATGAATTATTCAAATCTAGGGCGGAGGTGATGTAGTGGCTAGTGGCACACTACTTCACACGCATGGTCAGGGGTTCGAATCCCAGTTCGATATCCGCTTGAGCCAACCAAGCCTTCCTTCCCTCCGGNGGGTAAAAGCCCTGACTTTTACATCGTCTGGCCACTGCAAGTCATTGTATGAGCCACATACGCACTCATTACGCCACTACGATTCTGAATGGAAGTCGAGTGCGGGGGCGCACCCTTCAGCAGACGGGATTGATTAACGTCAAAAACTTTATCCTTATTCTTCATTCACTTCTATATTATAGGTATTTTTGAAGCGACCTTGAGTGGAAGGAAGTGTGGGATGAAAGTAGTGGACCAAAATACTGTCATTCTACCCACGACCTTCACTTTCTCACCATTCCTTCCAGATGAATCTGACACGTTCTGATAAGTCCCGATTTTTGAGCAATCTCGATCAGAAAGGGCTGAGATCGATCGAAAATTGCTCGCGGTCGATGGGTTCGGTACCCGTATCACTATCGACAAGGCAGCGTTCCGAGCACACTGACCCGAATACATCAATTCCTTTCCTCGTACTCGGGAATTCTAACCTTTCATATACCCAGTCCTGTTCACAGAAATGTGGCTTGAGTAAAGTCAGTGCGGTTCGGATCTGGCACCTTTGTGCTACAGGGAAAACACCTTTGAAAGTTATAACTATTTATTTTTCTAGTAAGAATGACAGAAAACTTTCTTTCCAGCTTTATCTCCAACTGTGTGGATTATCATCAAGCATATTCTGCGTAAGTTATTCACTATTAGTACAGTGATTAGTAAAAATAACCAGATATTTAGCTATACTAATCAAAAATGCTTGGGATTACCAGTTGATGATTATCCATGAGATCTTTTCCACAGCTGATTCTAGCCATCATTGTGCAGCGCAAGTTTGTCTGAGTCTGCATGCCACCTAGACGTATCTTTGTGTAGATGATAACTGAAGTCCCTTGTAGGGCATTTCTATTTTGACGGGTAATTCCGGTTTTCAAGAGAATTTTTGCGAATTATTCCCGATGAAGTTAGGGTTTCGCTCAATTTGGCGCTACCTTTTTTCTCTTTATCTACTACATTGCCTGTAGGTCCAGTACTCATGATTTTTTTTTNTTTTTTTTTCTGATGTCATGAATTTTTGGTGTGAAAGTTGTTTTGCTTCCAGCAGACGTGTGAAGACATTGTACGCTTGCACACCGGATCATGAATCGGAATTGTCATTTCAACCAGGACAAATCATTACAAACGGTAGGTTTTTGGGTACAGTACCTAGCTGTTTGAGGAATTATAAATAAGAAGTAAAAATAGAAGTAAGACTCTTACTACTTGTTCCTTTCCTCTTCCCTTTCATAGTTTTTATAAATTGTCACTTCTACCTTCAATTTCATCGCTCTGCGCCTAAACGGAATTTTCCGCTTTTTGCCAGTTCGCTTCCCATTTCCATTAATGTAAAATAAGAAATCGAAGTTGGGCGGTTTCTTTCGTGCAGTTGTTTCCTCACCCTGGTCTATTTGGACAAAGTCTGTGGCACCCACTGAGGATTCTGGGGACCCTTCCTTCCTATCGACCCAAAGAACTAAGAAGTATTAGATGACTTTCTGTGTTGTTCGAATGGAAATGCAACCGAAGCGGCCTAAATATTTGTTACCACTCGGAAATAAATTTTCTATTTTCTCAGAAATAAAGGCTGGTAAGCGATTTGTGGTGATCCTCGGCTCGACCAACTGAAGCCTACATCTAAAGATATAGTGCGTACATGGGGGAAAGGTGGAAAGGCCAAGTAGAGGCTTCCAAAAATATCGTTTTTGCCTCGGATGTGTTTAGTGCCTACAACACTTACCCCACGTTGACATTATTCTAGAGTCAGTCCACCGTGAAGGCAATCTTGAGCATCATTTGTAGTGCTTGTTAGCCAAGTTCGGTTTTTATTGAAGTTGCAATAGATAATGGTAAGGTACTCCATGAAATATCTTTTGTCTTTTGTAAGCTTCAGAATATCTAAACTGATTATCAAAATTTTAGACTGATTCGGGACGGATCTTACGGAACTCCTATCATTTCCTATCCTTCTAGAGTTCCCTCTTTTCGAAACGTATTTTTCCTCTTCAAAATTTCATTGAAGTGCCTTTCTGTTCAACTATTCTCTTTTCATCGCAGTAATCTCTCTTTCTGTCTAATTCAATGGCCAGAACTGGTGCGTCATGGGGTGTCTGAATAAATACGAAAGTAAATAAATAAATAGATAAGTCTGCTGAGTCATGCGAAGGAATTTGGGAATGTGACGTGATGCAGGGTAGGAGAAGAAACCAATATGACGTGAGGCTTTGGAGTGAATGAATAAACTAGGAAGCAAATGACTGAATAAGTCAATGGTGAGTCACCCGATGGCAGCGGAAATGGGGTACGAGTGTAGGGTAGGGAAAGGGACGAGTCCGGTAGGAGGGCCATCTCTCACTGAGGAGTAGACGCTGTTTGAAAAACAGAAGCACAATGTGCGGTAATTTTGCTGTTTCCATTACTCAAAACTCTTCAAATCAATTTACTTNATATATATATTGCAGTGTACGAATCGAAAGAAGAAGGTTGGCTGGTCGGTACACTAAACGGGAAGACCGGTCTAATTCCTTGCAACTACGTGGAGCCATTACCATAACGCTGGTGTGCTTTTGCTGATTTTGACGCCGCTCCATCCACGGATTGACTACGATTCAGCGCCAAATTTCGTTTTTGCGCTGCGATAATTGTGATTCTTTTGTACGGGTATCTTCGTAACGTTAGAGAGTCTCATCAGGGCATGTCGTTGTCAGTCTGACGTTTGTTTGCGATCGTTCACGGAAATTTTAGCAGCCAGTGTTTTCTACGATTCCGCTAAATCCAAAAAGAATATGTGTCTATGTATTCGAGTCGTCTGTCGTGATGTTTTTTCTTTTTTTTTTGTCGTTTTCTACTAGCCTTTGAGGTTGTAGCTTGGCGCCTCGGAATTTTTTTTCATTCAAAAAATAGGCGGCTCCTCGTTCTTCTTCGTTATCGTTTCCATTTTCTCATTTTGTTTGTTCTTCTTTCTCTAACTTTTTTATTTTATGAATTACAGTTCTATAGAGTAGATTAACAGACGGGTATCATTCCCCCTATTTCCCGTTTAGAGATCACCAGCATCTGTCTGCTACATACCACAGACTTCGCGCTCCTCTCTCGCTGTCCCTCTTTCCGATTGTCCATCCAACAGCCGGTCAGATCGAATACGGCCAAGTCATGTCTGTGCTGTGTATGTGCGTGTGGCGTTAGTTGCTGGCTTGTGCTTCTGTTCGTCTTCGTTGTGTATCGTCTTCGGTTTGGGGTCTCGCCTACCTGATCAACTTGGGATTTTCGCTCTGATACTGGAGTATATCCCAAGGTTGTATAGTGTGACACAAAGTGATCCGTTCTCGACTTCTATGTGCGCTCCTAGTCGCGCAGCGATGCTTCAGCAACGTTGCAATCTTGGGTTCTTCATTTTTTTCATGTTAGTATGTTGTATAAATGTTTTCACGGTAATTGTTATTTACAAATAAACAGCTGGGGTCTCTTATATTGGTTCAGCCCAAATAATGCAGAACACTAATGAAAGATCAGGACAAATGAAAGTTTCTGGATGAGTGCCAGCAACCTTTTGCTCATATCACCACACTTTTGTGATGACAAAATAGCAGAATTGATCTGAATGAGTGTGGAGTGATATGAAAATGGCTAGAAAGTGATTGGTGTTCAAAAAAAATATGTTGAACTAGTCACTTGAAGCTTAGATTCGGGATAGTGATGGATCCCTTAGAGATCGTATGCCTGGGAAGAATTCAGAGTAGTGGTCATGTTCATGGCGCAATGTCTGAGCTTCGGCGATAAGCCAGTCAACTAGTAGACCCACTTAGCAGTTTGAATAATTCTTGCTAATTGTTCTACCAGTAATCTTTAGGGAACAGGGCAGAAGATTCGTATGAGCAAATGGGGGTATTGAATTCTTTTTTTTTTCGTGGGAGAATGGAATAAATGGTCCTGTAGTTTATTGGATTTTTCGTGTGAGGTATTATTTGATTTACTGCCACTTGAAGAATTTGTGAAAGCTGTTTGATAGTCGCTTACGCAAAGATTCCCGCGCCCTGAGCACCGGTGGTACAGGTTCATGTTCATGCTATATGTACTGTCGGAAAAAGCTTGGTACTATCGGGTCGGTAGGGCGGTTACGAGGCTTGGCGGGCGGTCCTGAGCAAGCGTCGATAGTGATTTGATACCTGTACCATGCATTTGGTAGCAGCACTGCACCTACTTCACCCCCACCTACTAACAAGTAATCCGACGCTTTTATTTACGAGACGGGTTGTGACTCGAGTGGGCAGGGTCTGTAAATTGGAATAGCTTTTTTGGCCACATATTTTTCAGACCTGCTCTATACTAACCAATGACGCCATCGAGAAACGTTTCCTAGAGTTATGTACATGACTCTGACATAAGAGAATGGAGTAAAATTTGGCCAACTTTCTTTAGGAATGTAGGTCACCTATCTGGCATGCTGTAAGGCGAGGATGGGTACATGTTGATTTTTTGGGAAAAAAGCGATTTCTAAAGAAGTGAATGTGATATAGGTTTCAATGGGTCGATGTAGTGAAGGACTCGGAAAGAGCTCGTGGATATGACGTGTGCAGCAAAGTGGCTTCAATTATCCATTCGGAAGAGTGTGAAATTGTCGTCTTGAGCCCCATACGCCTCGATGAACACCGTTTGCAACTCCCAGTTGGGTGACTGATTCGACAAGATCCGAGAAAAGCTCAACCATGCATGAAGATCACACATGCCGTTGTACACAAAAATGGAACTCCAATTCGCCCCTCCAATCTCACACATTTCTTTCTAATCATCGCTAGTCGTAAAACAGCATGCGTTGCAAAATGGTCATAGCCACCCCACCTCACTTTAGAGCCCAACGTTGTATCGGTTCTGGGTTGATACTATTAGGTAAGGATTTCAGTACAGACTGGATTTCTATTCTGTTGGCTAAGGTCTTCTTTGAGATTGGTTAGGATCTTAATTTACTCTACCTCGACTCCGTTAGGTTACTCCCAATTTAGGAAGATGCTCCAGTGTTACGCTAATTCCTTTACTGCGAAGGGGTGGTACTGTCACAGCTGAATTACTGCGAAGGGGTGGTACTGTCACATCAAGCCTCCCATCCCTCGATGGTTGATTGGTACATAGTACTCTTATCCTCCCAGATCCAGCGGTGATTTGCACATCGGCTGGCCACNGCAAGTCATTGTATAGACCACATAAGCATTCAATCCATTACCACGATTATGAATGGAATTCAAGTGCGTGGGCGCATTCCTTGGACGGGATCGATTGAAGCCCCAGGTCTTTCTCCTTTATCCTTTTGAAAGGTGCTGTAGCCATACGGAGATAAATATTGAGTTGTACATTGACAATTCTTCCGTATCAGAACGACTGGTCTCCCCAAAGTTATCATTAATGATTTCCAATGGAACACTAAATGATCTCAAAGATGAAATATTGCGATGATAGAGAAGTCATTAATAACTTAGTAATATTTACTGAAATAATGATTTTGTTTATTTGTGATCTACCATGTGCAGAACCCCGACTCTCTCAATGGTTTTGACCTCCACCATTCAATCACGCTCAGCCGCAGCTCTGTCCTACCTCGAATATTTCTCCTCACTCCACTTTTCTCTTTTTTCGATCTTTCTTTGTATATATCATTTTGTTGAGCGTTTTTAGTTGTTTTTTTAACTGGTGCACTCAATTTTGTTTGATTTGTGGGCCGAAATTCTTTTTCATCTTCTTGTTGTGCTATTTTACTCTTCTGCATCGTGAGGATTTTGAATTCTTATTAATAACCGATTAGAAATTAATCAAAAACACCTCACCAACCCGAACTTTACTGGTCCACTAATGAATGAGTGTAGGGTTTCTTATTGTTAGTAACTTGATAAGGTGTAAAACCAGCTACGGTTTTGTCAGAAGCTTAGATGCGATTTCTGAATGCCATTTGTCACCTACGTTTTACTTTTCAACTCTCTTACAACCTTATCTAATATACTTCACATCCTGTACCGGTATCATCACCTATTACCATTCCGATATCACTCACTCCGGATGAAGTCCATAGCGGAGTTTTGCTTTTTGTATTTTACTTTTTGACTGTACATATTACGTGTTCTGATATACTTGTTTACCTATACCATCCTTTTGATATCTTCTTTCTGGGTCCGTCTACCGTTTATGATGTACGCTAGGGGGTAGCCCTATTCGCGATATTTTCATAGAAAGGAAAGACACAACAAAAACACCACCGAAAAGGAAACATTGGGAAAGATGGCTGTTCGCCTGACATTCTTTGTCAGGAATAAGTTTTGTAAAAGTCGCAAAAGTGGGACCGAATACTCCTCCGTAATATGGAGCCCATCGTATCTGTTGTTCCACTGCTGAAGGCTATCGCAGCTCATACTTACTATATCCATTTTGCGGTTACTTTTGCACTTGTAGCCTATCCCCTATATCAACCTGTACACATGGTAACCTTTGCTGACACCAGTTTTCTAACTCCTTCTACTACATAAAATATGTATCAGGGGGAGGCTTTATTCTCAGCGGAACTCATGAATTACAAAATTACGACTAAAAGTTATATCCCATGGTTTCATGTGCTATTCGACCATAGAACTTGGAATTTTGGGAACTCTATCGTAGCTTATTTTCCATACCATTATTACGAATGACTTGCTGGAGCTGGTTGAAAGTTGTCATGAAACGACATCTCGTAAGAACATCTGGATCTTGAAAAAGACACTGAAAAGAAAAAATTCAACACGATGGACAGGGAGTCAGGTGTGTGCTCAATTTCAAGTCCGGATGTAGAGATATGTAGTGTAATGAAAGGGGCGCCGGTAACAGTTTGGATCCTCTGCTGCCATTCTTTATTCAACCCAATTAATCCTTCTATCTGTCAAGACACTAGTAACAGACTTGACTGGTTCGATACAAATCAAACCGATAAGCGATGGCGAGCCTACAACAAGCTAGAAGAACCGGAATCGAGTGGTAGACACGGCGTATGCCCAGCAATTCAATCGATGCTCGGCTTTTTAGCTTTTACTTCCACAATATCTCTTTTCCCAGTCATTTGTGGAAGCTTCGACGGATCGCGGTTTGTCATATAGTATTACCACTACGTTCACGAACACATTTTCTGATCCACGTTAAGCGATGACGGGCGATTTGCCACAATATCTCTTTTCCCAGTATTTGTGGAAGCTTCGACGGATCGCGGTTTGTCATATAGTATTACCACTACGTTCACGAACACATTTTCTGATCCACGTTAAGCGATGACGGGCGATTTGTCACATATTTTTGGTCGCGGGCAATTGTCCTGAATGGGTACCATCAATAGCGGGAAAGTGGTGTGGGAGAAAGCTTTGCCGAACGTGCCACCGTAACGATTTCGACGACGATTTATGTGTTTTTGAAGATGGACGGAAGCAGTCGGCGACTGCATTGGAACGTGTGTACGTGTGAAGTTGTCCCCATATTCAACGCAGTTAAGCAGTACCAGTTAATGCTTGAATTGGTTATTTTGCAGCAATTAGAGACGGCACTTGAGAG